CCCCCGCCCGCCCACCCGCCCCAACTAGTAATTTGTCAGTGTTTGTTTCTGACTCAGGAAACTTGGCTTTATCTTCCAAAGGATGTAATTTCTTTCCTTTTCAATGATTATGGTTTGAGAACAGGAACAAAGAAGTCTGGATTAAGGAGTCCCTAAAAGTAGTGATTAATGCCTCCAGGTAGAATGCTTCTCAAAAAATCATTACATGGCCCACTTGCATCCAAAATAAATGCATTTTTAACAGACTCACCTGTCTTGTTACCAAGTGCCCAAGGTGATCCTGATACACAGCATGTTTGAAAATCTTCAGACACATTCTGGGTGACAAATTGTTCTGGTTTGTCTGGGACTGAGAGGTTTGCGGGACACAGAACTTTTAAGTGCTAAAGCTGGAACAATCCTGGGCAAACTGTTGATTGCCCTAGATATATGTGAGTATATAGTATTAGAAACATGCTTTTGATGCATCTTGGCATCCTGGGTTTCCTCATTTCCATTTGCAGGATTTGTTTTTATTAGCAGATGGTGATGGAGACCATGGAGAGGAAATGAAAGTGAGGTGTGTTGCCAGTTATTACTCATTGATTCTCATCTCCAAACCCATCATCCTTCACTGCATGGCTCGCAATACTGCAACATTTCTCCTTTGCAATTTGGCCCATTGTTAAGTTTTATCAGTAGAGGGTGCTAGAGGGACATTAGGGGATAGGAGAAAAGGCTCTTCGGATTCCAGTGTGCTCCTCTCAGCTGGCTTTGCAAATGCACCTTTCCGTGGGCTGAATTGCAATGTTAGTTGAATTTACAGCCTTGTTAAGTTTCTCTTGTGAAGTTAAAGCATCAGTTGGGAAGAAGTGGGATCCCAAAACTTGAAATAGGGACATCTGCTAGGGCCCAGGTGAAACTGACAATCTTGAACACCTAAGCTACCCTGTTTCCCTTGGCAGTGGAAGTAGCTTGCAATTCTGTCTTAAGGAGACCAGTCATTCTTTGCTTGAAAACCCTGTGAAACCCTCACCTGGGGCAGATGACTTGAAAAATACAGCACAGGTCTGTACTTCCTGACGGGTGGGAGTGCTTCCAGATGTGTACCTTTCTTTGTGTAGGCACCTAGACGTAGGTCAGACTAGAGATACTTTTAAGTGGCTGCGCCCTGTATCTGCTATTTCTGTATTTTTAGTTTTCCTTTTTCCCTGTAGGTACATATTGTAATTCCCTATTATGGTTAATAATTATTTTATTCCTGCTTGCATTACTATATAGTTTCTGTCTTCTATTTGAGTCCTGACTGTTACGGTATGATCGTGCTGTCAGGGGTTGGGAGCAATGGCCATCAAGTGGCTGGACCCTAGGTGAGCCTTCCAACTGTTAGTAATCGGTCTGCCACTGATTTGGACCCTTATTCTCCCTGGCCCTTTGCTCTAGTGCCACTCTGGTTTCTTTACCTGACACAGCCCATCTCAAATCCCAGTAGATTTTGCTGGTTTGTTGCCTCACTTCTACTCTGAAACCAGCATTTCTAAGCACATGGTTGGAAGACCATCTGCGTTAGAGTCACATGGGGGAGCTTATAAAAAACATGAGGATTCCAGGCCCCCATCAAGATTGTGAGTTAGTAGGTCTGGGGCAGGGCCAAGCAATTGGCATTTTCCCCAGTGCCATGTTTCATTTTGCAAGAACCTTCTTAGAGCTCTCTCTGCTTTGTCCAGCTGCGTGCTTTCTCCAGGTGATCCCTCTTCCACTCAAGTTATCTCATCCCCTGGACGGCAAAGCTGTTTGATACTTGGGAGTGCTGGTAGCTCTGAAAAATGCTTCTGGGTGAGCCATACACTGCATCCTATTTTCAGTTGCTGATTTTCACACCAGACGCTTGCCAAACATTCCCTGTTTCAATCATGTGCCACTTGCGGAGCACCTGCTGCTGAAATCCTGAGAAAATTCAATCCAGAGAAAATAATGGCACATCATGCTAATAGCTCTCAGTGAAGGTGTCACATAGATTCCTAGCCCGTGTCTCACTGCCAAAGGCTGAGCGGTTCCCAGCTTGAGAAAGGAGGGTGGGACCGGAACCTGCCAACTCGGCAGCATATTTGTGTGGAGGCTTTCAAGTCTTGGCCAGCTTTACACACTGAGGGGGAGAGGATGCTCCCCCAGGTTCCAGACAGGAACTCCTCCTGTTCAGTGCCAGCAAGATTGCAGGGGCTGCCAGAGACAAAATCTTCCAGGAACCACAGTGGAAACTATGGAAGGTACAATTCAACAGTGTAGTTGGATGTGAAATTGTGGAAAGCAGACAAAAATCCAGGACAGAAGAGATCACTAGAGGTTATAGTGATCAATGAAATTTTTATCACGAACAGGGAGTTATGTTACGGTTTTAAAGTATCTAGCATTCAGATGGCTCAAAGATATTCTGATAGTGACACTGCCCTTAAAAAGAGGAGGCAACATTTCCACATTCTTATTTCTAAATGATAGCAAATATTAACATTTCTTGAGAGTGTCTTGCATGCCAAGTGCTGTTCTAATTACTTACATGCACACATTGATCTAATTTTCAGAACAGCCTTATTATATAGGTAGTATAAATATTAGTCCCATTTACAAAGGAGAAAACTGAACCATAATGCTATGTGATACCACTATCCCAATGCACATACATGGCAGAATGAAAGCCAAATTAGGAAAAACAGGACTATTCCTAGAATGATATATGGAGCCATATCCTAAAACCTCAAAGCTGGTTTCTTTCAATGACTTCAGAAGTGAAGATTTTGTAGCAATCTAATCCAGTATGCAATATGGGAATTCTCTGTATGTTCTGCTCAATTTTTCTGAACCTAAAATGACTCTTAAATATGCACTGTTAATTAAAAAAAAAGTCAATGGAAAATATCCACATTGAAGTACAGAGAGGAAAAGAAGATGGAAAACTCAATGGAGGCTTCTAGCAGTACGGCTGAATACAACAACTAAATTCTGGCTAAATTGGAATGAACTCACAGCGTGGCCATAAAGTCCCTATGAATGCTAGTTAGAAGTTGTGTGTATGCCTCCTCTGTTCTCTGCAGAATTTATTTTTTTTATTTTTATTTTTTTTTAAAGATTTTTATTGGGGAATTGGGAGGATGGGAACAGTGCTGGGGAATTGGGGGGAAGGGGAACAGACAAGTTGCTGTCGTTTTTTGTTCTTCAGTCTAGTTGTGGAGGACGTTGCTTCACTGGCCCAAGTTGGCA